CGGACCGCCTGTAAATACTTGATCATGGCCGGATGGGTTGCTTCGTATTCGCCATTGTACCGACTCACTATCAATTGTGAATCGGAACAGGCGTCTATTTTTCTAGCCCCTGCCGCCTTGCACATGCGGATTCCGGCTAGTAAGGCTTCATATTCTGCTTCATTGTTTGAGGCCTGAAAACTGAAGCGTAAAGCATACTCGTACCTGTCGCCCTCTGGCGACTGACATATGACGCCTGCTCCACAACCATTAGAAGTAGAGCTTCCGTCCACATATACCTTCCAGACTTGGTCTGGAACTTGAGAGTCAGGAGGACGAGTCATCTCAACAATAAAGTCAGCAAAGGCTTGCCCCTTCACTGCTTTTCTAGGCTCGAAAGTAACTTCGAGGCTCTGTATTTCTATGGCCCATTTGATCATTCGGCCTGACGACTCCATGATGGTCAATGGCCGCTTGATAGGTTGGTCTGTATACACGACGACTGCATGTGCCAAAAAGTAGGGCTTTAATTTTTTAACAGCCATGAAGAGTGCAAGACCAAATTTCTCCACTAGGGGATACCTCAACTCGGCATTTTTCAGTACGTGACTGACAAAGTAGACCGGGAGCTGACAGCCGTCTCTTTCAGCAAGGAGAACAGCGCTTAACGCATTTTCAGAGACGGCCAGGTACATGTAGAGTACTTCTTTGGGCAAAGGGCTGACCAGCCTCGGCAAGGAATGCAAGTGAACTTTCAATTTCTGGAAGGCGGCCTCAGCATCCGGCCCCCATTCAAACCTTTCCTTTTTCTTAATTGCCTGGAAAAAGTATAAGCATTTGTCGCCTGATCGGCTTAGAAATCTTCCCAAGGCCGCCAGACAGCCTGTTAACTTCTGAACCTCTCGGATGGTATGAGGCGATTGCATGTCAATGACCGCCTGCACCTTCTCAGGGTTCGCCTCTATTCCTCTCTGGTTGATAAGGAATCCGAGAAATTTCCCAGACTCAACTCCAAAGACACATTTCTTGGGATTGAGCATGACATGGTGCCGCCTGAGTGTGGCGAAAGTTTCTCGGAGGTCCGACAGATGATCTATCTGAAGTTTAGTTTTGACAATCATATCATCAATGTATGCCTCGATGTTTCTTCCAATCTGATCAAAGAACACAGTGTTTATCATTCGCTGGAAGGTAGCCGGAGCATTCTTAAGACCAAACGGCATGACCGTGTAACAGTATAACCCCTAATCAGTGACGAAGGCCGTCTTCTCCTGATCTTTCTTCCATAAAGGAATTTGATGGAAACCAGAGTAGGCGTCCATAAAGCTCATCAAAGCATGGCCGACTGTTGAGTCGACCAGATTATCAATTTTAGGCATAGGGTAACTGTCTTTGGGGCACGCCTTGTTTAAGTCTGTGTATTCTACACACATTCGCCAGGTGCCATTCGGCTTTTTAACAAGCACCACATTTGCAACCCAGTCTGGGAAGTAACATTGCCGAATGAACCCTGCATCAAGTAATTTTTTAACTTCGGCGGCTGCCGCCTGACTTCTTTCTTCGCCATGGTTCCGTTTCTTCTGCCGTACCGGCTTCTTTTTCGGATCCACGGCTAGTTTATGTACCGCCAGATCAGGACTAATGCCTGGCATTTCATGGACTTTGAATGCAAAGATGTCCTTGTATTCTTTCAATAGTTTGTGAAAGTCGTCACCAAGGTCTCTCAGAGCAGTCGTCCCAACTTTGACTGTTCGATCAGGACGTGAGTCGTCTAAGATCAGGTTCGTATGCTCACCAGCCGGCTGAGGGCGGAACTCATCCGACCGCTCCTCTGCCAATGATTGCTATTTTCTTTCTTTTCTTGCGGCCCCTGTCTGGGATGCCTTTCTCTTCTTGTCGTCTGCTTCTTGAACAGACGCAATCTTCTTGACATTGTCAAGGTCTGTTTTTTCACCACTTGACCCAGTGGCCATAACAGTGGGCTTGACATCCGAGAGATAGCACTCTCGGGCCATCCTCTGATCTCCCCTTAGGGAGCCTACTGTTCCATTATCCCTCTCAAACTTGAGCAACATAAGAGATGGGATTATAACAGCCTTGGAATTATTCAGGGTTGGTCGTCCCAGAATCATGTTGTAGGCCGAGAGTTCTTCTACTACCAGGAAACGGACTACCATGTGTCGTCCTTCTCCTTTTTCGCCCAGACGAATGGGTATATCCACTCGTCCCACTGGGTGGACGACTCCTCCTCCAAACCCTACTAAAGGGTGGGAGGCCGGATGTATGCAATCAGTCTGATATTTTAGTTTCGACAGACATTTGCTACTTATGAGATCTGAGGAGCTTCCGGTATCTATGAGGATTCGGCCAACTCTCTGGTTGGCCACTTTACATTCAATAACGATAGGGTCGTCATGCGGCCCTCTTACCCCTCCTAGATCTTCTTCAGTGATGACAATCTCAGGAAATGAATATTTGGACGGCCGTTCTTGGTGAACGGAATTTACATCTAACCGCCTGATATTGTCTTTGTTGCCTCTAATAGTGGGGCCGCCTCCTGAGAAGCCGCCTGCAATGGTGTAGACGACTGCATCATCTGTATCGGAGCTGTCGGCCTGTTGTTTCTTGTTGGACGACTGCTTTTTTAAGGAAGTGTTCCCCGTAGATTTCTTGACATAAGTGTCAAGATCACCTTGCTCAGCCAGGCGGTCCAGATACCGCATGAGACTGATGCAGTCATTGGTGTGATGACCAACATCATCATGATAAGCACAGAATTTATCTTAGTTCCGGTTGTTTGCAGAACCCTTCATGGGAACCGGCTTCTCAATAGAGATCCGTCCCTTGATTTCTTTTAGGATAAACTGGTTATCCTTGATAAACGCATACTTTGGGGAGTATGGTTTGAATTCTTTTTTCTTTTTCTGGGCCGGCTGTTTAGAGGAATCAGCCGCCCAGACCTCTTTTCTTTTCTCGTCTTTGTTTGACGACTGTTTCTGTCGTCCTTCTCTTTTGTCGGACCTTTTACCGTCCGACTGTTTTCCCGTACTACAAAGATCAGTCGCCTGTATATAGGCTTCCGCTTCAATCAAGGCCTCTTGAAGAGTCGCCACCCTCTTTCGGACCAAGTCAAATTTGAAGGTCGACCCGTCCTTGAGACCTCTGAAAAAGTCAGTATAGGCTACCTCATCCGGTAACCCTTGAATCTGTATTCTCATCAGGTTAAACAGCCTGATGTAAGAACAAAGACCCTCCTTCTCGCCCTGCTGAATTGTTCCTAAATCAAGGGTCGTTTTCTTCGCAGGGATGTTCATGGAAAAGTTGGAGGTGAATAAGTAAGCAAGCGTCCTGAAACTATTTACACAACCAGTCGACAGGTTGCCGAACCATTGTTGTGCGATTCCTTTGAGAGTCGCTGGGAAACACTTGCACCAGGTGGGATCATCCAACCCTTGAAGGTACATCAGGTTGGTGAAGGCCATAAGATGGTCTTCTGGGTTAGTAGTGCCGTCATAGACGCCTACTAATACATTTTTCACTTTGGCCGGCTGAGCGGCTTCAGTAATTTCCTTGGAGAAGGTCGGCGGCTGTTCACCAAGTCTAAGCAACCGTAGCTGCCAGTCCATAGGTTGGACGTTTTTTGCTGCAGGTCCACCAAACGGAGGTGGCTGAAAAAAATACTGTTGTTGCGGCACAAATGGTAAGTTTGGTACCGCCTGGTCGCTATGAAAGCCGGACTGACGGGAGGTGCCGCCTGACTGACTCTCATGATACGACTGAGTATGCCTCATCGAGGCATTTCGCATACTGTCTTGAAAGTTTGAAGTAGAGGCCGACTCTGACAATCGGTCACTCTTCTTCTGCTCTAGCAGTAGCCGAGCGTCTGTGAATGTTTGCTTCGACCCGTCCGCCTGAATATGACGAACAGGTTTCCTATTTCCTGTAGGAAAACGGAATTTTGTGAAATCAAGGGCAGGTGGCTCCCGCTTCCTAGATTTAGGATGAGGAGTCGCCTCTCGCCCTTGAACTGGCTTCCTCTTCAGTGAAGTGGAGGGTTTCTTAGCCGACTGCTCCTTGACCAGAGCAGGCGGCTTTTTGTTGATCAACTCTTGAATCTCTCCCTTGAAGTCCCTCATGAAAGTCATGAGTTCGTTCCTTGTGATGGGAGAAGACCCATCAGTCGGCTGTTGCCGAACAGGCGGTGCGCCTGCTGGCTCGCTTCCTGTATGAAGATGTTCCCGTTCCCTCCTTTCGGTATGACGGGTACGTCGGGCCCTTAGGGTCCCGTCTGAAGTTGTGTGAGCTTCAACTTCAAATTCACTCTCAGTATCGTGGTCCGACTGAACTTGAGGGTCGTCTAGGGGACGCCTCTCTTCAGGAGTCGGTACAGACTTGGATGCCATCTCAGAAGTACTCTCCCCACAGACGGCGCCAAATGTTTCGGGGTTTTCTGATGTCCTGCGGGAGAGTTACAATTCCGAGACTGGAACCGGACGCCTGTACCTGCAAAACAACGGAGACTCCTGGTGGTGGGAGCTCCGCCTCCAACGGTCAAGTTAGTACTTGATTAAGGAGTAATTAATGCGGAAATTAAAGTGAGTGGGTCTCTCTAGGTGAGAGTGTTTAATGTGAGTTTTTAGCGTAATCAGCCTGTAACTCTGGGTGTAATCAGTGTGTTTTTTCCGTAATCCCCCCTTAATGAGGATTAAGGGAGGTATTTATAACCTTGGGAGACGCGCCAATCCTAGGTTTAGGTTAACCTAGGGCTGATTGGGCTTCCCTCGGAAGTTGGGCCTGGGTGGCCGGTTTCTCCATTAGGCATGGAGTATGCCACGTGTCATGACATAACAGGTCCAAGGTGGACGAATAAGCGTGTGCCACGTGGCAAGCCCTGACAGTTCCAACTGGGGGACACTTGGCAGGACCTGATTGGCCCACGTGGCGCATTCCGATTGGTGGGAGCAAAATCCCCTAATCACAACCCATTCACAAATTTAGTTTTAGGTATGAACACTCAAGATTCTTTAATTTACATCATGCAACACCGCCTTATATATAATCTGATTTGGTGCGTCAATTTTCCAACACACCAAGCATCTTTTTATCACTTGATCAATCACTTTTACCATATGCTTTAAATTTTTATGAAATACTTTATTTAAAGAGAATATGATAAATGTTCTCTTTTCATTTACGTACACACCTGAAAAAAATTAGGAATAGTGATAAAAGTGTGCCCTCCACACGCCAAAGACCCTTGCTTAGTTGCTTATATATATCCCTTAACAACCTGAGTGTGTCTTCCACACTCTCTTGCCTTAATCTTAGGAAAACATCATTAAGCTTCATTCTCATTTTCCTAAACTTCTCATTATTTTTTTTTCAGTTTTTTTTTGTCCTTGCAAAAGTTTTTCTTATGTCTTCTAATCATTCTAACAACAATGAAAAACCCTCCTTCAACCAAGTGAAGCCTACCATCACTCCAAGCATCGAAATTGAACACGAGTCCGATGGCCCGGATTACTCGAAACGTGCCCAATGGCTCCGGGCCGCGGTCCTTGGGGCGAATGACGGACTCCTATCTGTAGCCTCACTTATGATTGGGGTCGGGGCAGTCTGGCCCGACCCGGGTACGATGGCTCAAACCGGGCTTGCGGGCTTGTTTGGTGGGGCGTGTAGCATGGCCTTAGGCGAGCTTGCGTCGGTTTGGGCCCAACGGGATGCTGAGCTTGCACAACTCCTCCGTGACCAAGAGGACCATCCTAGCCCGCCTGGCTCCCTGGATGATAAAAAGCGGGCCCTACCAAGCCCGCTATGTGCCGCGGCTGCTTCAGCAGCGGCATTTGCAGTCGGAGGAGGGGTGCCACTCCTTGCAGCCGCATTCATAAAGTCCTACAAGGCAAGGTTGGTCTCAGTGCTAGTAACGGTAACACTCGCGCTATTCGCCTTTGGTTGGCTCGGGGCCGTCCTAGGAAAGGCTCCGGCCTTGAGATCATCAATAAGAGTCTTGGTAGGTGGATGGATAGCCATGGGACTCACATTTGGGCTGACAAAGTTGGTCGGTTTTACAGGGATATAGCAACCTAGAAGTGTGACTCAACTCTATATTGTTGTAATAGAAAATTGTACGTTTACGTACATCATTGAATTATATGAATGAATGAAATTTCATTGTAGTTTTAAATTAATTTGATCATGTATAATTTAAAGTAAACGACCTAACCGCCCTAAATTTAGCCTTAATCCACCAGACTCCTATAACAAATTTGGGGTAGGGGAAAGTTTGGCCTAGTTTGTCTATGCTCGATGAATCATGTGACATAAAGATCAAAACCCGAAATCTAGGTATTCTACTATTAGGCCAAGCTTTCGTTAGTATCAAACAGAACTTGTATGTCTGTGTTGAGATTTATTGAGAAATACTTGTATTACTTTAATTTAGGTGCACTTAATAATGGGCATGTAAAGAGTACTGCTCTCCCCTAAATTAAATCGGTAAGCTCTAATAATGCATGTGATTAATTAACGCAGTTTCAGGCAGTTTTCTAGCCTGTTTTCTGTATTAATGATGCAGTCATATAATGTGAGTGGAAATGCGTATAACAGATTAACAGTCCATTAATTTGTTTCTTTGATATAGTAATCAACTAACTGACCAATAACAAAATTAGAGAGATGTAGCTTAGGTACCTAGTTATGTCTCATCTTTAGGGATGTGTATCAACAATTATCATCTTAAATTTACAAGGAAATATTGGAGTTGATAACAATTATATACGAAGTAAAACGGTTTAAAAAATGATGATAAAACAAAAACAAAGCAAATTAATTAAGATCCAATCAATAATGAAATAAATTTCTACCACTAAAATGTAACTATTTAAAGTCTAGTAATCAGGTGACATATCGCTTGTTTCCTCAGTACTCTGGTAGGCCGCATTGTGACGGTATTGGTCGGTAAAACCTGAAAGGAGTACAATCATATATTGTTGGCGATTATTAAGTTCATCATATTTTGCAATAACATTAAATAGGTGATCAATCTGTGACTTTAGGTTATTTCTTTCAAACTCCCAATTTTGTTGGTAAATCTTAAACTCTTCACCCACATTTTGTTCGTAAACCTTATACTCTTCAACCACCTTTGAAAGCTCCTTCTTTTCCTTGTTTAATTTCCTACACTTCTCTTCGAGTTTTTCCTTATCTTTATCCTTTTCTTTCCCATCCCCATTCACCAAATTTTTCTTCATAAACTCTTCTCTTTCCTCCTCCATGTTTTTGACTTGCTCTTCGAGTTTCGACAACTTCTTGAGGTAGATCATCTCATATGTGTACAACTCGATTCGTGCTCGTGCTTCCTCCACTTGCTCCGTAAGGCTCAATTTCTCCTCCTCCCACATCTTCTTCTCCGTTGTTGATTGTTCCTTAAGTTTCTGTTTCTCCTCCTCCCTCATCTTCTTCTCCATTGTTACTTGTTCCGTAAGCTTCTGTTTCTCCTCTGATACTTGTTTCATAAGCTTTTGTTTCTCCATCCCCCACATCTTCTTCTCCATTATTAGTTCGTCAACGTATATTTGCATCTGCTTTAGTTTCTCATCCTTTGATGATGCTTCTGAAGTTGTTTCCTACAAACATGTATGATAATGATATTATATATGCGGGATAATCATAATTTATCTATACTTAGTATTTAAAAACACGCTAGTTAATTATATATTCAATACCTGTGCGGTAATAAAAACAAATTATTTTAAGTGTAATTTAACATGAAAACTACCTATAATCTCACAAATTATACAAATTGTTATGATTGATTATCATACAGATTCGAGCGATGTACGAGTAGGGATCAAATTGACTAATTTTCATAAAAAATTTAAAAATATACTATAAAATATCATGATAATTTTGTTCGTAATTTTTTTAAAATCCAAATTTGATAAAGTTAAAGAAGTATGGAGTAAAACTTCTATTCTCTAAAAATAAAACGGTAGATATCGGAGAAAAAATAAAACCAATTGAAGCTTAAAAAATCCACATAATCAATTGATGTAATACAATTTAAACTTACCCTAACAAAAATAATCCTAAAAACTTAAAGCACTTCAATATATACTCCATAGTCAGTATAGTGCAAACGAACAAAAACAATTAAAAAAATAATTCAATTTTCACATAATTAACGAAAAATAACTCGATCTAAAACAATAAAAACATAAAAACAAGAGAGATAGAATAGTTACCGGAAGAATGAAATTAATGAGGATGTTAATATTAGTTACAATGAAAATTACACCAACTATTAGCTGCACGATGGCCGTAAAGAGATGTAGGGAAGGAAAATATATTGATAAAAACAAAGATAATAAGAACCCTAAACATCCCAATCTCTCCAACTCGAACACAAAATTTTCAAACTTAACATCCGCCATCCTTTAATTTTTTTAATTTTTGTTTGAGCCTAGATCACAGTGAATATTTTTTTTTAAGACAGATCACAGTGAATATTAGGATATATATATATATATATACAAGTCATATAAGCCACAAAGATATACTTTTACTCTTATTCGAATTCTAAAATTTTCCTATCTTATTAATTTTTTTTTTAAACAAAAAAGGATGTAATTGGTAACAGAATTTTAAATTTCCTGATTTTAAGACTGATTACACGGTTTTGTTTTGTTTTTTCCTTTTTTTTTAAATTATGATACTCCGTATCATTCTACGATTTAAATTTTACTAAAAAAAATATCAATATTAAATATATAACAGTATATTTATGTTGAGTGCTTTGGATAAATGAAGTGATTTACAACGTATAATATAATTAATCTTTTGCACTTACCATTTATTTATCACGAGAGTGAGAGGCCAGGTAGTTCAAGTGATTAGAATTTTCCTCCCGATTCTAAGAGATCTTGAGATCGATGTTTTTTTATTCCTTCGCCGGTTGGCATTGCTTGTGGATTCGGAGCCTTTTTTCGTTTAATATACATCTTTTTTAAAATTGATCGTTTTTAAGTGCATCATTTTTTTAAACATCTTCTTTTATATACTAAGGGTCTGTTCTCATACGTTTATTTTCAGTTTAGTTCAGCTCAACTCAGCTCTTAATTTCCTTCTCTTATAAAATATTCATTTCAGTTCAGTTCAGCTCAGTTCACTCAATGAGAACAGGCTCTAAGTATAGTTTATATATATATCTCCTCACATAATATCCACTATTACTTATACCCCTTTATTTTTTTTTATTAAGTGAGAGTTGAATTGAGCAGAGTAAAATAGAAATGGTAATTTTTTTTTTTTTTTACGAAAAAATAGAAATGGTAATAGGAATTAGAAAATACTAATAGAAATGATACCACTTTATGACAACTCAATTTAGGTAACAACTTTTTTTTTTTTTTTTTTGGTAACAGTATTGACATCTAATGTCAATACGTTTTGTGACTCCTGTAACAGTGATGGTGTAACTCCTAAAACACTAACAAATTCACCCCTTTAACATATAAGAATTTGTGTTTATGATTATATCAACATAAAAAAAAGAAGTAAAAGTCCATGTCAATTCTTATAAGCAATGCAATAAAATTAATTAGAATGGAATTCAAGTAGAAGAAGATGAAAAGATAAAGATTGGCAAGTTTAGTTCCTTGATTCGACTTCAATTTGTTACAAAATTTTTTATTTTGTGCATCACCCATCCTAATAATTAATTAAATTGAGGCATAAACCACTTGTAGCTACCTCCTCTGATGCACGGAAACTTCAAAATTCATTGACGTATCATTTCCGAAACGTTTCGGAAAAGTTTTACGTTTCGAAACGCGTTTCGAAATGCATTTGAAAGTTTCCTGGCTTTGCAAAACGTCTCACACCATTTGAAAGTTTGGAAACCTTGGGGAAACTTAATCAGGGGTATATAAAAGCGTTTCCCCTTTAAAACGTCTCACACCATTTGAATGAAATCTTGTTAAGAAGTTCCTCAAAACAAGAATTGAATGCTTCTTTTGATCTAGTAACATCCCATGGTACTTCATCGACTAAACCTTGAACCTCCCAAAGCTGATTCAATTCTACCTTATTAAACTCATAATCAACAGGAAACAACGAAGAGTAATTCAATAGTTGTTGTTCCTGTTTAGGGAGTTATGGAATTAAGTCCAATGATAGAATAAATCTTACTGGATCTTCGACACTAGTGAGTAGATAATCATTGAAATACTGCCGTTTCTTAAGAGTAAGATCAGAAGAAAGAATTGAAGCTATGATTGCTGTAACACGGGGATTATTCGCACACTTATTACAAATCTCTAGACCAATGTCTGTCAAAAGGGAATTTTTCTCTTCTTCTGTTATGTTTCTAAATGCTATGCTCTGAAACAAATGTCTAGCGTCTACCTCATGGAGATTTCCCAACTCATAAGGCAGGGGCGGAGCTAGAAGGGGACGAGTGGGGACACTTGTCCCCCCATTTTCAAAAAAAAAAATTAAAAAAAAAAAAATTAAAAAATTAAAAAAAAAAAAAAAAAAAAAAAAAATGCAATTACTTTCCAGCCAGCCAAAGCCAAACCCTAAGTTTTTCAATTTTCAATTTCTCTCTCTTCGTCTTCGATTCGCCCAATCGCCCTCGCCTTCGTCCGTTCGCCACTTCGCCGGCAGTCTGTTCGTCCACCGTTCGCAGCAGTGACGAGGTTCGTCCACTTCGCCGGCAGTCTGTTCGCCCTTGAGCCTTCGTCCTTCCTCCTTCGTGACTTCGTGTGTTCGTGAAATCGTGACTTCGTCTGTTCGCCTACTCGCCTAGTCGTCTGTTCGTCCACCGTTCGCCGGCAGTTCCCCCCTGGTGACGAGGTTCAACAGCCGCCCTTCAGCCCTTGAGCCTTCGTCCTTCGTGAATCGTGACAGCCGTGAGCCCGTGACTTCGTGAGTTCGTCTGTTCGTGTCTTCGTGAGTTCGTGACAGCCGTGAGCCCGTGACTTCGTGAGTTCGTCTGTTCGTGTCTTCGTGAGTTCGTGACAGCGTGACAGCGTGACTTCGAGTCTTCGATCGACACTTCGTCTGTTCGTCATATGCATTTCAATGGAGGTATGAATCAATGAATGTTTAATTCTGAATTTCATATTTTTATTACTTGTTTAAATGTTTAATTGTTTATATTTTTATTGTGAATTTGTCATTTGTGGCCTTGTGGGTATTGATTATTGAATAATTTGAATTGATAAATGATTATTGATTTATATTTGTTTGAATGTTTGATTGTTTCCCCTGTTAGAGTTTTTGGTTGTTTTTGTGAAATGTGAATTTAAATTTATTAATTATTGTAAATTATTGAAATGTGTAGTTGAATTAGAAATTTAAAATCTTAGCCTCTTAGGTTTTGTTATTATGTAATGATGTGGATTGTGGTCTTGTGGAAATTGATATATAATTTTCGATTTAATTAGGAAATGTCAAACGATTCACCAAATTCAAACAAATCAAAGGCAACTAAACAACCCGATCTTCGACAATTCTTGTTTAAAAGAACGAAACTCAATGAAAATGAGTCCAATGAAAATGAGTCCAATAACTCACCTTCATTTAGCTCCCCTCAAAGTCAAGAAAATAGTATGGAAATGGGTGGTTCAAGTAATAGTAATGTACCATTAGAGGAAGATTTGGTGTATGATGTTGAACTTCTTCCTCATGATCCGGGAAAAAGAATAAACATTATGGATTACCCCGCAAATGAACGAAATGCTGTTAGGAGGGGTTATATTCTTAAAAAACCTTGCCAACCAAAAACTCATGACTTCCCTACAAGACAAGTGTCTGGTTTGCGTCGCTTTAGTGTTCATTGGTTCAACAAATGGGATTGGCTTGAATATAGTATTGAAAAAGATGCTGCATTTTGTTTTGTATGTTACTTGTTCAAGAATGAAGTTGGTATTAAACCGGGGTTATATTCTTAAAAAACCTTGCCAACCAAAAACCGCTTTAACTCTTAAAGATGCAATCATGTCTTTACTTGTTGAACATTCATTGAGCCCATCTATGATAAGAGGGCAAGGGTATGATGGAGCTAGCAACATGAAGGGTGAAATAAATGGCCTTAAGACTTTGATTATGAATGATACTCCAAGTGCCTACTATATACATTGTTTTGCTCATCAACTTCAACTAACATTAGTTGCCGTTGCTAAAAAGAATGATAGTTGTGGTTGGCTTTTCGAGATACTTGGAAATTTGTTGAATGTGGTTGGAGTTTCTTGCAAGAGAAGAGAAATGATTCGTCAAGATCAAGCTCAAGAAGTTGCTCGAGCCTTGGATGTTGGGGATATTGTGAGTGGATCGGGTTTAAATCAAGAACTTGGTTTGAGTAGGCCCGGGGATACTCGTTGGAGTTCTCATTACAAGTCACTTTTAAATGCCATCCTCTTATTTCCTACAATTATTAAGGTGCTTGTACAAATTGGGAAGCATGGTGCATCGGAAGATAAGTTCAAAGCTCAAATTGTTTTAGGACAATTAGAGTCATTTGACTTTATTTTTGTTGCTCACTTGATGTTGACTATTTTTGGATACACTAATGATTTGTGTGTTGCTTTGCAAAGAAAGGAGCAAGATATTGTAAATGCCATGGAACTTGTCACTTATACAAAAACGGTGTTGCAAAAAATGAGGGAGCGAGGATGGGATACTCTCTTAAACAAGGTAACTTCATTTTGCACTAAACATGGTGTTGTTATTCCCACTATGGATTCTCTTTATGTTCCTCATGGAAGATCAAGACGTTTTGTTGAAGAAGCAACAAATGAACATCATTTTCGGGTTGGAATTTTCTTAAGACTAATTGATTTGCATCTTCAAGAACTTGATGAACGATTTAATGAGAGGAATATGGAGTTACTATTATGTATGGCTTGTTTAAGTCCTAAAGATAACTTCTCATCCTTTGATAAAGATAAGGTACTTAAACTTGCCTCTTTTTATCCCGAAGAATTTTCAAGCTTTGATTTGATGGCTCTTGAATATCAACTTGATGTATTCATGGAGAATATGCTAAATGATGAAAGATTTCAAGGTTTAAATGACCTTAATTCTCTTTCTATGATGCTTGTTAAAACCAATAAGCATAAGACTTTTCCTCTTATTCATTTGCTTATCAAGTTGATGTTGATTCTTCCCGTTGCCACGGCAAGTGTTGAAAGAGTGTTTTCTGCAATGACATGTGTCAAAAACAAGTTGCGAAATAGCATGGGTGATCAACTTATGAATGATTGTTTGGTCACTTTTATTGAGAAGGATGTCTTCTTACGAGTTTCCGACGAAAAGATTATTGATCGATTTCAAAGTATGAAGACTCGAAGAATGAACTTGTAATTTTAATGTAATGTTTATGTAATTTTTTTCATCATTTTGAATTGTATGACTAAGTATATATTTGTATTTTGAAATTTTAATATTAAGTATTAACCAATTTGTGTGTGAGTTTTTTTTTTTGTTTTTTTTTTTTTTGTTAAGCTTTTCGTAAGTTAAGCATTTTGTCCCCCCAAGTTGAAAATCCTGGCTCCGCCACTGTCATAAGGTGCGCCTTCAGCCATTGTCAGTTGAAGGTTACGACACTCCATGGGGCTGGACTAGAGATGGCAATATTAAGTGGATATCCGCTAACCCGCCCCACCCGCTTAAAATAAATGGACGAAAATCCGAATTAAATTGATGAGAAGCGGGTGACGGATGAAGCGGATGATGGATCGGATCGGATCGGATGTGGATGATATTTTTTTCACCCGCTAACCATCCACCCATCCGTTTAACATATATTAAATTTTTAATCAAAGAATTTTACTAATAAAATATAGAATGTGCAAGAAAATTACTTGTCTTTTTTTTGTTGTAAATTAATTTTTCAAACAATATGTTGTTATTGTTTTTTTTTTATTAATAAATTAAAAAAATTATTATATAAATAACCAAAAATTAAAGTTTATCTGAGTTTTTTTTTTCATTTTAGTACTCATCCATTTGTCATCCGCTCCACCCGCTTCATCCGTGGATGATGGACGGACGGATATGGATGATGGGTGAAGTGGATGACGGATGGATGTGGATGAAGCAATTAGGATAATGGATGGATGCGGGTAAAGCTCCACCCGATCCAAATCCGATCCATTGCCATCTCTAGGCTGGACCGCGATGTGACTAATATCTTACTCCCGTATTGACTAGAATAAGACAACAAAGGCTCTATATATCTCCAATTATCAGGATCCTCGCCAGACAAATCATCTAACACAAGCAAATATTTTTTCCCATCAAAAATTTTCTGCAACCTTGAAATAATCTGGTCAAAGGTACCCTTATCAAATGACATTACATCATCAGCAACTCTAAGAACATGCCATAATAATAATGTACGGGTGTGATCTGCAAAATTATACAAATTTGATGTGGCTTGTTCCATTTTTTTTTCCTTGTTACAAATTGTTTCTTTGCTAGCAATGCAATGTAATTTGATAGTAAGTCATAGTCTACTCCTTTTGTCTCTGAATTCAGATTTGGTATTCATAGTATAATGTCAAGAAACTGTTATATGTCAGTAAACAAATAAAATAAATAAATAACTAACACTAAAACTAAAACTATTATTATCAACATGGTTGTTATTTACTTGTATAATTTTACTTACTACGTGTATTTTAACATCTTCAATACTTTATGTCCGATTAAATCTAGACCAGACCCAACTTTTTAGCAATAAACCAGATTAAATGGCGTGTGTGCCATGTTGTACTAGCTAATGGTACTGCAGCTTGTTAGTCAATCAACTAACGACCTACTCATCAATTTATCATGTCTCGAGCTTTGATTCAATTCATTCCATATATATACAATATTACAAATAAACCTCTAAATGGTACTGCAGCTTATAAATGCGTATAATATCTTCCTCACAAATCTTATTCTATACTTTGTAATTCTTATATCTCTAATTTGTCATAGTAGTTTGTTTAATTTATTGTTGGGTATTTTTGTAATTTCATTCAATGCGTCGAGAGTGCCAATCACTTCGTGAATATAAGGTAAGACATGTAGACATGTAGGGAGGAAAGAGGGACTACAAATTTTGTGCTTGTTCCATTTTTACTTGCTTTTTTTTTTTTTTTTTTGAAAAGTTAAAATACTAGTCCCTTTTCCGTAATCAATAACACTAAAACACTATTTTACTATCAAATTTAGACAAGTCCCACCTTATTAGCAATAAACCCAGATTCAATGGCGTATGAAGTTGTGAACCATGTTGTGCCTTGCCCCACGTTTTTAATGGCTTGCAAGGTGGGCCTTTCAGCCCAATTATTAGGTAAGTCAGTTTCAATTATTAATGAGGCTGGCTTATCTTAGGCCCATATCGCTCATGAATATAATAAAGAAAAGGATGGACAAAAACACAAATATTCGATTTCGGTGTTTAGAGAGCAACAAATTGACAATGGCAGTTAGATGAGAATTGGTCCTAAGATTTTTTTTAAGAGGTACTCCGTAAGCTCTAAGTACTTTTTTTTTTTTAATAATAAATAAAAAATATGAAGCTCTAACTTCTAAGCACTTGATTGTCCTTCACTATCAAATATGATCTCAACTAAAACCAGAAATAATTTGATAGTAATAGTGTTTTGGTGTTTTTTTTTATATATGCTAAAACTAGAAAATATGATCTCAACTAAAACCAGAATTAATTAAAAGCACTTGTTTTTTATTAAATAGAAATGTACTGCACATGGGCCAACACAGCATTAAAACGTTGGATCAAAGGTCCAAAATAAGTTGGGCTGGTTTGACCAATGCAAATATAGTTATTGGGTTTTCAATTTGCTTAAATTTAGTAATAGTAGTACACTTTAAATATGGTTGATTAACACCCTATATTTGTATAAGTTGTACTGCAACGACTAATATTGTTCATAGTTGTACAGTTGTACTAGCTAATGGTACTGCAGTTTGTTAGTCAATCAACTAACGACCTAATTATCATGTCCCAAGCTTTGATTCATTCAATATATACAAACCACAAAAATAGGCTTGTAAATGCATATAATTTTTTTCTTCTCAATTTTTCTACACATTCTTTAATCATTATATCAATATAGCTGATTGTATTCACGAGTTTGCTTGGGTATTTTTGTATTTCCATTTGATGTGTCGAGAGTATTAAATAAGGTGAGACATGTAGGGAGGAAAGAGGGACTACAGAAGAGATATCAAATGAAAGACGGGAAAGAGGTTGCGCAAAGATAGAGCTACTTAACAAGTTGATCATTTATGTTGTTGGCTCTACCTTTGCACTGCCTCTTCCCTGGCTTTCATTTCTCCTCTACCCTTATCCTTTCTTTTCCCTCTCATCCTTGTCTTATTCCTTGATAGAATTGCAATAACATGTTTTTATATATTTTTATATATTTTTATTTAAAATATGCTAAGTTTGAACATTAAAAAGATACCAAGTATAACATATGCAATATCATTTGAAAATATGAATGATAAAATAATGTTTCTATCTCATTTTACTTGTCCCATGAAATTGACTAAATTATAATAATTTACGGAGTAGTTAGTAAAATGAGATTATATTCATTGTTTGCAAGATTTTATTTATACAATCAAATATGCAAAATTATTTTGAAATTAAGGAAGTCATAGTAAATAATTAGCAATAATCTCGCAATAATTAACATTGAGGTGAGGAAGATTGTAGATGTTATGTTGATTCTTGATTGTCATTATCATTAGCTACTTTTCTCATCTAAATGAAGGTGAATGAAAACAAATTTCAAATCTAAGGTATGGGATTATCTTCAATATTTATTTATATACTTTTTGACATTAAGTTTTGTTTCTTGACATTGTATTTTGCCCATATTTAAGCTCAAGCATTAAACATTTAAACTACTGAAGGCTGTTGTTTTATTAGCCTCCGTATATGCAAGATGCAATGGTCCAAATCAAGCCCATATTGGCCCAAATTTTGGTACTCTCGTGTGCAGGGGCGAAGCCAGGATTTTAAAGCTATAGGGGCCGACTAAAACTTTAATAAAAAATTAATGTGAAAATAGGCTTGATCCTATGATCTAATTAAACCCCAAACAATGGTATTCAAACCGCTGCGGCAATCATTAAATACAACTTAAGTTATAACAATAATATTACTAATCCCTCCGTGTTTTAATAAGTGTTTTCGCTGTTTTCATTATTCACATAATGATTTTGACTTGATTATTTTACCAATATATAAAAAATAAATGTCATTGTATAATACATCGTTAGATTCGCTATAATATATACTTTCATAATATCAACTTTTCTATAATTTTACTAATATATAATTACATAAATTAATGGTCAAACTTGTGCCTCGGCGTGTTTGGTCAAATTGTAACGCTTATTAAATACACGGAGGGAGTACGTCTGTTTTATATTATTTGCAACGATTATACATTTTTTTTCTCTCTACTTTATGTCTAATCGTTGCAAATAATATGAAACAGATATAATATTTGTTCGAAAAATTTATAGGGGCCAGCAGTTAAGATTAAAGGCCACAAAATTAGTCCATGGGGCCGGGCCTCCACCCGTCCCCCATGTAGCTTCGCCCTTGCTCGTGTGGGCCACAGGGCCCACAGTTGATTTTATGATATACTCTAGGTTGTAAACCTGTCAACTTTGTGTTATTTGAAAGTATTTTGGAGATCTTTTCAAGGTGTTTAGTTACGGTCAAACTTCTTATCTCTCGTTGATTATTCGTTATCTTATTTCCAAACTTTTGTATTTAGTATTAAGAGAAAAACCAAATGTAATAGAAGACATTACAATAATATTTTAATATTGTACGAGTATTAGTTATTATGACATTACAATATTAACCTTTTATAATCTTTAATTGTTTAAATAGTTGCCAGGTAAAAAGTTATAAGACTATAAGTTTAAGCAATGGAGTACTTTGAGCAAAAACTTAAATTAGTTTGTGATAACTAAATGTTCAATTAAGTACCTAATTAGATTTGCCCCTAAAAAATATGGACGTACTACACTATCAAAATAAATTTCATCACCTTATGTCCAACTCAGTCATATACAAAGATGGTTAATACTCGTATATCTTTATTTTGGACATCAATAGCACATGAGATATCTAGTACTTGTAATCCATTCTATACGTCACAACATTTTGAGATCTTAAATCTTTACCAATGGTGAATAAAAGTACGTGTTGTATATTTATTTTATGCAGTTCTTACCATAAATTTAGACGCACAAGGGGTGTGGAGCAAGAACAATTAAAAAGAAAAACCTAGTATTATGACTAAACATAGATTAAAATAACA